TATTGAACACCACTTCTGTTGCAAAGTAATCAATTCATAGAGACAATGCTAAACTGTTACCATGTGCAGAGAATCTTTTAGAAATCTACATCCAAAAAATAATTACAGCATTTTTTTTCCGCCGAGTTAACAGTTTGCTTTGTGTGGAGACCATCACACCAGAACATGTTAAGCTGTACCAGGGTGACCAACCAGGTTAAAACAGTCTCACCTATCTGGAGGAATGTACAGCAATGTAGGAAGAAGGTCAATGACCTTCTCTGATCTATGTGCCACTATTTCTCTTATACCACACATTCAAGCTCTGATATTACATCCACCTCCAATCAAGGCTCATACTCTACCTCTCTCATTAATGTCTGCTACATCTTCTCCACTCGCCATCACCCACCCAACTTCCAACACCACTAACCCTGAATGTCCTCTATGCTACCTAATCACTTACTCTGGACACCTTCCTACTTACCTCATTAATAACAGGCCTGCCACTCAAATATACATGTCTCTCTCATTCCCAGGAGGAAAACAGGCTCACTAGTGCAGAAAAACCTAAGTCAGGTGACAGGCTGCCTGATATTCAGCTCCTCACCCCATACATGGTGAGCATCATGACTCTGACTGCCCTACGTGGATGACTGACGGTTTACAAGGCCCTGGACTGATATTAGGGGCTGCCCTTGCTGGGACACCTGACCAAAGACATTCCTGCTTGGCTTAACTGAGACCTGCATGACAAATTTTCTTACTCAATGGCTGCAATAAACACCATAGCAATACAGAAATGAAATAACCTTGGTACCTCTGGCTGATGATGCAAAGCACAGAAAAGGCAATCTAAGACAGGATGCTGTGAGCATTACAGTGAGTGAGTGCTATGATGTCTGGACTGATTGTTGAAATTTGTGGCACAAAGCTCACGTTGGCAGAGCCCTATAAGATTATACTTTTGGTCATGAGATTGGTGCATGGATTGTTTTTTCCAGTGTTATACACATTAAACCACGCAATGATGCTGAGTTGCCAAATAAAAATGAACTAAAGAGGTATAGAAGTTACCAACGTCAATCCACCATTTGGTACAGCTTCCTGATAAAAACACGAGACAAAAGTATTCCAACTGGTCTCAGTGCCCTGAGATTAAGGCGGTGGGTTGGGGGGGGGGGGGGAATACAGAAAATAGATACGGCAGTAGCTCAACGTAATTCATTAATAGTAATGGAAATACTTCTGTGATCCCCTGAAATTGAATAGTGTTGCAGCAAATATAGTTTTGATTAAATAGGAAGAATGCTTATATAGGTAAGGTAAAAATGCAGCGCAGGAAAATATCCAGCATAAAACCAACCCTTCAGAACAGAAAGAGAAAAAAAAGGAAGGAGTAAAATATAACTGGTTGAAGTAGAAATTGAATTATTACAACTGAAATAGCAGTTTCTTAGGATTCACTTGAAATTGTGGGCAAACTCCGTGTTATTCACAGGATGAGGACATCACTGGCTAAACCAGCATTTATTGCCCATCCTTAATTGCCAAGATGGCAGTTCAGAGTCAACCACATTGCTATGGGTCTACAGTCACACGTAGGCCAGACCAGGTAAAGATGGCAAATTCCTTCCCTAAAAGGACATTAATGAACCATATAGGTTTTTCTGACAATTGACGATGGATTCATGGTCATCATTGGACTCTTAAGCCAGATTTTTTTTAAAATTCAAATTGACCATCTGCCACAACAGGATTCAAACCCAAGTCTCTGGATTAACAGTCCAGCAATAATACCACTCTCACACGCTAGGTTGAGAAACTCCTGACAAGTATCTCCAAATTCTCTGAAATGTTTTATCTTACTAGTTAAGCAACTGGTGTACTTATAAACTGGTGCCTTTAAAAAAAAACTGTGGCTTTGGCTTTGCTGGCTAGATCAATATACATTGCCCATGCATAATTGCCACGAACTGGGTGGTAGAAAATTGTCTTCTTGAGCTGATTTGATCCCCGAGGTGGCAGCATACTCAAAGCACTATCAGGTAGGGAGTTGTAGGACTTTGATCCAAAGAGTGTGAAGGAACAGCGATGTAGTTCTAAGTCAGGAGGGTGTATGGAGTGGAGGGAAGCTTGCAGGTGGTGGTGTTCCAAGTCTTTGTTACCCTTGTCCTTTTGAGGCTGTAGAGGTTGCACATTTGGAACGTGTTGTAGAAAGAGCTTTGGTGAATTACTGCATTGCATCTTGCAGATGTTACACTGCTGCCACTCTACATCAGTGATTTTGGTCAAATATTGCCTTGATGTCTACAGGAGTCACCCTCCACGTACCTTTGGAATTCAGCTGCTTGTTCATGTTTGGACCAAGGCTGTAACGTGGTCAGGAGCTGAATGGCTCTGGCAGAACCCAAGCTCAGCTAATTGGAACAACAGGGTTAAAATACAATTAGTCCAAATACTGGGGCCTACTGGTTATTTTCAGTCTTGAAGTCCCAGAAAAAGGCTAAAAAAAAACAAACATTCTTTTGCATAACTGAACACTATAAAAAAGAAAAAGTAGAAATTACAGGCAGCAAATAAAAAAGGATTGATTTGATTGCCTGTCAAATTCTGATCATTTATTGCAACATATTTAACACCTCAGTCTTCTATTCATGTTTTTACATTACTAAATTTTTGGTGTGTCACTCAGGCTGGAATGTACAGGTCACCTTTTTACAACCCTCCTATTTCTCTAAAACTCACTTATTTTCTTCAAGTCACAGTCTTATAACAAAACTAAGTTACTAGTTAACCTTAAAATTAGGGCTACAGAACGATAGTAAAGCACGCCATATGTAACATGTTACAGTGCAAACATTCAGTTACCCTGTGCATAATCTACATAGCAACCCTTTTGAGAAAGCTTATGACTGCTTTGAAGTAGCCTATTCTAAACTCCTGCACTATTATATTTACTTTTAGTATTGTGGTTAAGACACCATGATAAGTAGAAAAGTGTTTATCAGAATCAAAGTGCTTTCTGACTCTTACTTCAATAGATTCATTTCAACCTGCCAAAGCATCAAAATCAGTTCAGGAATAATTATAATAAGAACAATATGAACAAGACCCTTGGAGTTTATTCTGTCAGTTGGACTATGGCTGATCTAGGTTGACCTATATCCCTTTGATACTTTTACCCAATTTTAATTATCCAGCACTCACAGTTTTTTTCTAAAGGAGGTACATTAATCAGGAATGAATTCCAGATTTTCATCTTTCATGTGAAGAAGTAATTAATTATTTCATTCATGAATGAGCTGGTTCTAATTTTAAGATACCTCCCAAATGGCTTCCTTAAGGGCTCCTTCTGATTAATTTAGACATATTAATTTAAAAAGCCACCCCATTTTCCGATACCAATGGAATACAAGCCAAATGCAAGCATCCGATCTTCAAAACGTAACCCTTAAAGCCTTCATATCACTCCAATAAATAAATTCAACTCCAAACTCCTTCAAGGTCAACATATCATTCCTGAAATACAGTTCCCAAACTGAACATAATATTCCAGATCGTGGTACTGATATCACGATTCTGAAAGCTTGTAACATGCCAAAACATTTACAGGTCATTTTAACAAGCCAACTTTTTCCTCAATCGACAACTCATCTTTATTAAACAAACTTTTTTTTTTACTGCACTTGACCTGTCTGTTAGAGAAACATTCCTCATTTCTACTTTTGTCAAGACCATTAGGACCAAATTGGACAATAGTAACCTGCTGCCATAAAAAGGTTACACAGCAAACTTCACCATGGAAATTGGCCAGTTATTTAAACAATAATGGAAACTGAGTTCTGTAAACAATTTGTAGGAAAATTAAATTGTTTTGTTCCTAAAATTAACTTCTACCTTAAATTCACATAGATGAAGGGTAGTTTGATAAGTTTTGTACTTAACATTTTGATTAGTCAGCCACCCAAAACATGATAAAAGCTTTAATAATTATACTAAATGTTTCCACATGGACGGTGCAAGCCAGATTCACCTCTTATGATACTCTAAAGCTTTTTATATAAACCTAGCTGTTTAAATGGAAAATGGTGCAGCACAAACAGCACTTTAACTTTTTTTTTAAGATTTATTATTTTTATAAATGGTGCATGTCAGAAAACAATAAATTAGGAGGCTATCTTAATCCACATAAAATGATGAAATGCTTGGTTCTTCAAAGTAGCCAGGCTCAACTCCCTCTGTGTCATTGAATCGATGCTGAATATATGGCAGTGTGTGATTTTCAATTTTTTTTTTACATGCTTCAGTCTTCCTGATCAACCTCCTCCCCACCTGCCAATTTATCAATTCCAATCCCAACCATCCCTCCCACCAACCTGAACCTTTCCAAATGCACATCTTGTCTCTTGGTAGTAAGTCCGAGGTTATCTTGGGGCAACTAGATAGTCATCAGTAAATATGTATGAAAGATAGAAGTAAAGATATTTCCATTGCCCAGATATTTTCACTCCCCGGTATGCCTGTTAAAGATTGTGAAAACTTTTACAGTTATAGAAACTAGTCTCAAGCAGTAAATTTCAACAACCTTTCTGCAAAAATCTAATCACAATTTAATTCAGGAGTTATATACTTTTGACAGCATTACAGTAAATACTCTGGACTATTACTTGCAAGCACATAAACAAATGGATATGAATAATGGGGAGATCCGAGTTACTAAATTATATCAAAAACTAGAAGCATGTAGGTAACCTTGTCTGAGAGCCATATTTTACAAGGTAGTGCATTTTCTTTGTAAAGGCAAGTAAATGACAAACTGTACTCAGTTTATGGATCTACTTTTGTTTTAACTTAAAACAGATTTAGTAATCACTACAGAAGTAGATAGGCATTCTAGTCGCTATGTATCCTAGCCGTTAACCAGGCATTTTTTTTGGTATTAGCATTTTTATGATGAAATCTACTTCACAACACTTCACATTATATGTTCATTTCTCAGTACTATTTTCAAAATCTACCTGGTCTCACTTGCTTCTCCTTTCTCATGAACCTTCAGCCATTTCTTCAACAGGAAGCGTTTGCGGCGTGGAGAAGCACTTGGTGTTGAACAATTTGACCAAGGAGTATCCTCATCACTTGATGGAGTAATCTCAATGGAAGGAAGCTGTAGGTACTCTTTAGTTATTGGGCCACAGTAAATGTTGCTCACCATTTGTTCTTTCTCACTTTGAACATTCTTCCAACGTTTCATTTTGAAACGCTTTCTGCGAAGTGTTGGAGTTGAGGATCTTGACCAGGCCACAGTGCCATTTCCTGAAGATGAAATCTGTACAGCAGGAAGCTGTAGCATATCAGTCATCTCTACAGTTTTGCAAGATTTCTTTACTGTGTTGTAAAACACAGTTATAAGACAGTCTTTTACAAGTAAAATGAATGCTCACAAATCATGCACCACAAAATGCTGCTGTCACTGTGAAATCACTTACGTTGTAAAATCAGATGCAGTACCTGTTTAGTTTACTTATTTTTGTTGCTCCTTTAAATAAATGTGATGTTTTGTGCAATCCAATACTTAACATATATTGAATGAAATATTTTGCAAATTGTAGTCTTTTTAAGCTGTTCATCACGTTGAAGTATTGTTGCTGGTACTTCTTCAGTGTACTTTAGCCCTCCAGAGTTGGTTAACTGTCAGAAGCAAGCTAGGAGCAGTCTGGATGTCTACTGATACACTTTGAGACAGTAGGTACGATAAACAAAAATTAAACCCAATCAAAATCCACAGAGGGATTTGAGCAGCAGCAGGTGTGATGAAGAGACCGATGCTCATCAGGGAAACTGTAATATTAGATAATGCAGAAGATAAAACATGCATAAGCAATTGTAGCATGTAATTCTAGTCTCTGCCACATGGGATCAGCTTACATTATTCAGTGGTTGTTAACGAACAAGATCGTTGTCAAACCTTCATCAGATGCATGGGCAAACTCTTAATCCCACATCTACATGGTATGCCATTCTTCTTCCACATCATGGAGTCAATTATTTTTCATGTTAACAAAATATACTTTTCGATGTAAGCAGAATGAGAGAGTGAAGATTAGTGACTCAATAACCAGGATGCACACACAAGTTCAACCAGCAGTGCTCCCCTAAAAAGAATAAAGATTTGTTTTATCTATTGTAAATATTCACATGAATGATAAACAACTAATTATGCATTGTTTAGTGAGCATATTATAGATTATACATTGTTACATTTACATTATATCTGTGCAGTTCAAGGAGACAGTACACTTCACTGACATACCAGTGTTGTGATTCAAACCTACCAACAAAAATTAACATTTTAGGGTGGGGGTGGGTGGAACAGTACAATGGTTTATAAAAGTATTCACTTAAAAAGTTCTCCTTGTATGAGACGATTTTAAGATGAAAAATATAGAAGTGAGATTTAATTATTTTTCAAACCATACATCCACTTACACATCTTACTCTGGGCAAGAACATGCAAGATATCTCCAAAAGAATATTTTGTGTTGTCTAGAAAACCAGTATTATAATCTTGTAAGATGAAAGATCTTTCTTTCTGAAAGAACTTTTAAAACAGCAAAATACAATAAATCAAACCGGAGATTTAAATAAACCTCACTATGCTGAAAGCCAAAATTATATATGATTAACTATTGTGTCAACTATTTGCTCAGGATCTACTACCAAACCCAAAGAAAGATCCTTACAGTTGATATGAAGTCCACATATCTAATACAGTACAGACCAGAAACAGGTCAAAAAGCAAAATGATCAGGACAATTTTGTAAACTGTTGTCCGAGTGCACCCCTGTGAAGCACTTTAGGGTATTTTTCTCAGCTAAAGGCATGATCTAAATGTACACTGCTGACATATTTGTGCTATAAATCATTTGGCCAAACCATTGATTAGTCTATAGTTTTTAAAACAGGAGTATTTAGGGTGCTGTCATCATAAATATCAAATCATTCTATTTAGCACATAAAACTAAAAATCTTTCTGTAATGACATTAAAAGAACAAGAATGCAATTGACTGAACCAACATAACTGAAAAAAAAACTGTATTTACTCCTGCAAAATTTTGCATCCTCAAAACAAATTAGGGACAGTTTGTTCAATGTTTTCATATAAGTGGCCATTAGCTTATTTAGAATTGCAGTTAAAACAAAGTTATCCTTCAAAATGTGTTTGTTCTAACCTGTAATTTCCAAAAGACCTTTGGCAAGCAATACAGTAACTACAGCAGCTCAAATTTCTCCGTTGCAAGCAAAACTTAATAACTTGCAAAGGAAACACGACACTGATAACACGTAAGCTAACTTCAACTAAAATCCAGAAAAGATTAATTAGCAATTTTTAAATACCAAATATTCAGTCAGCATAAGTGTTCCTTTTTCCCCAATCTCAGTTCAGCCACCAAAGACAAAGAGGCAGAGGGAATGAAAAACGAGAGGATACTTAATCTCACTCACTTCCAGACGCCACGGAGATAAATCAATTTTCAGAGGTATGGCCATAGTGGAAGAATATTTTAAAATAGGTGAAGAAAGAATAAAATAAAAATATAAACCAAGGCAACAGTAAAATCATGACCAAAAATAGCACTGAACATGCAAATAGTGACTGAAGGATGTTTAACAAATATTATTTCCTCAACTTTCATCAATTTGAGTCATTTAATCTGCTGTGCTCTGAGCGACATGTAAACATTCCGCTGAATGTTCTAAAAGCTTGCCGCCAGGAGTCGGAGATCCAACTGGAGCAACTTGCCTTCCTAATTTTCACTCCATGTCAGGATATACCACAGACATCTCTTTGGACAGCCCTACCTCATTGTCATGTTGACAATTGGAGCAGGCCAGGGTGCAGCAGACTCAATGCTGAGGAGATGAATCTGCTCTAATATCCCCAGGCCATCAGTTCCCAGCTGCGGTGAGTTCTCAGACTTTTCAGTTTTCACTGGCCAGTAACGTCCATAAAGAAAACCTGAACAAAACCCCCGATAGTCTAAACGACACCAGCCATCAATGGGGTCATATCTCTGTACCATCAAGGTGAATAGTGCCAAGGCTTATGACCTGTCACACAGTCAAGATAGCTCACAGCTTCTGTCTTTGTTTCATATTGTACAGTTGATATGAAATGTAAAATAAATTCCAAAAAAAATACGACCAAGCCTTGGACTTTGTACTCCTCCAACCTAATTTTGTAAGATGACATGTTTGTCCTTCAAGTTTATGCAGCAATCTTCCTCTTGACCCAGATGCAAATACAATTGAAATAACTGTTGTTGTAATAACCTGCACTTAACGAAGATCAAAAATATATTCATATTATGTAAATCATGAATGGTTAAAAACTAAAGCTGCTGAAAAATTCCTTTAAAATCAGATTTCTGTCAGCAAATATTAAGGGATGCTTAATATTTGCCCTCCTCTTTAAAATCCATTCCTCAACAGAATCTTTTTTCCACCTTCACAGTACTGATCTTCCCTTCACCACTGCTGCAACTAAACTTTTCCAATATCCTGTTTGCGCATTTCTCATTTTCATCAGACATCAATGATAATTCATCCAGAATGTTCTGACTTGCCTCACTATTCTGGTCAATCTCCACGAGCTGTCTGTTATACATCACATCTACTTCACTTCCAAATCAGTCCATGGCGCCAGTACCCTCTGGTCAGCCAATATTAGCCCTTTATCCAATTTTTCCCCTTTACAAGCTGCTATTCTTTCACCCACCTTGCCCCTGTATTCTGGAATTCCCTGCCCTAGCTTCTCTGCTATTTTGAAGAATGGGGAGTTTACCCAAGTGTCCTATCCAATAATTAATCCTCGAACAACATCACATCTAGTTATTACTAGATTGATCTTCTTGGGACTTGCTTTATGCAAATGTGCTGTTGTATTTTCTACCTTATAACTGTGACTACACTTGGTAAAAAAGTTTCATTATAAGCATAGTCAATGTCCTGTTAGTGCTGAACAAGCACTTTCTTCACTTACTCGCCTCCCCTTCCCAGGATCCTTAAATTCTTTGATCCTTGCCTCCCTTGTTAAACATTCCTTTGATGTTGAGCTCCATTTAAGTTGTTTTATCCCTTTCTCTTCTTATATGTAAACAATGAACTGGTGAAGAGGATCACACCATCAAAATATCCAACAAGCTGCAAATACACACTTCACGATTATTCAAGAAATAGGACTTCAATGCTTCCAGCAAAAACTCACATGAATCTAATACTGAACACGAATTCCAAGGAATTCAAAGCGCCTGAATTGCTGAACAAGAAAAAGATTGAGTCATTACTGCTGTCCTCATCTCCTTCCAACATTGCTACAATTACACCCTCGTTCAAAAAGGTGTTTGAGAATAAGCCCAGCAGTTAGTCAACTTGTTTTACCTCAGTAGTGGGAAAACTTTCAGAAATAAAAATTTGGAACAAAATTAATAACAACTTAGGCATAGATTTATTAAGGAAAATGGGCACTTACTTGCGGAAGATAAAAATTAGTTTAGTTAATTTGATTGTGTTTTCTGATAACGGTAATGCAGTTTACGTTGCATACATGGACTTCCAGAAGGCATTTGCCAAAATGCCACATAACAGACTTTTCGGCAAAGTTAAAGCTCATCTAATAAAAGGGACAGTGGCAAAACAGATACAGGGTTTGCCGAATGACATAAAATAAAGATAAGCACTTTCCCAGGAGTTGGTACTAGAATTAAAGCCTTTCATGATCCATATGGAGGACCTAGGCTTGGGTGTACACAGCACAATTTTAAAATCTGGTGATGACAAAACACTTAGGAGCATTGTAAACTGTAAGGAGGATAGCAACAGACTTCAAGTGGACATGGACAGCCTAGCGGAATTGGCAGACACGTAGCAGACAAAAATTAATAAGTGTGAAATTATACATTTTTGAAAGGTGTCGGGACAGAGTAGATGGATGAAAATGGTCCCTTTGCTAGAATGGTCTAGAACGAGGACACCAACTTAAAAGAAATGCCAAGGCAAACAAGGGAAGAAAAGGAAAATATTCTTACACAGCAGGTGATTAGGTTTTGGAAGGCACTTCCTGGGAGTGTGACGAAGGTAGATATAATAGACTTTCAAAGGAATTAGGTTAAGCACTCGAATAGAAATAAAAATATTTGCAGACTACAGGGGACAAATGGGTAGGACTAGTTAGCCAGTACAAACACAAAGGGCCAAATGGCCTCCTAATGTGCTGCAACCAACGCACAATTGTATGCGAGAAAGTAGCAGCAATCATCCAAACTATAAACTGTGAGATCTTCAAAGACATCATCAGAACAGTTAGCAAAAATTAATGGTTTATACTGATTAAAACAAG